TTACAAGAATACGAAGATACGAAGTAAAAGATTATTCGATATTCGCCGTGAAGTTTTCTTCGAGAAAATAACGAAAATTGTACAAAAATTGGGGAAACATTTTCTTCCATCGTATCCTATTCACAATTCAAAATAGATTTAGAATAGATCTTAAAAAAAAGATAGTTTTAAAAGAAGATATTAAATTATCATCGATATTCGCCAAACGATCGAGTTGTATCTCGTTCCTCGAATATTTCTATTTGCATAACATTCGAATTTTCCAACTGACGACACCATTTCTCTAAATATGTAAATCTCGTAATCAGTAGAAAATGTTTCTCGCGTTAAGTGCGTATTGTAATTTTATTCAGAAACATATCCCTTTTTTCTCGTATAAAAATATTATCGTCGGTATACGCTTTATATTGACTAAACAACATAATATTTTCACGATAACGAGTTATTTTCTGCATGTAAGAATTCTTTTTAAAAGAACACGAAGTTAGACAGACAGACATACATACATACATACAGACGTTACTAATGATTAATCTTTAAGCATATCGGTTTGAAAATAAAACGATAAATAAGATATTTGAACATTTTAAAATCGGAGAGTAAGAGGACGTTTTGAATGAATTTGACTTTAAATGCCGAGACGAATAGACGACGCCTATAAAGATTAGAATTACTCGTGTAGAAAAAATTAATATTCGAGAGCACGCGAACTTGACACACAGGTATAAAGGAGGCATGCACCTGTTTTAAGAGCGTTATCTCGCGTGCTCCGGCAAGGTCAAAAACCTCCAAGAGCGATCGATGCTTATGATACAGTGTGTTTCCGACACGAATATGTTTGATGATAGTAACCCCTGAATAATTGAAGTACGAGTGGGTTGCTAATATCGTGAACGTCATGTTTTCAGCATTTACCTACATCGGACTAATGTAAGTCTAAGCGGTGCGAAACTTATGAATAATAAGTATAAGAGAGAATACAACCGAAGGTAGTATTTATGTACGTTGACATACCCCTAACGATAAGAAGTATCTAGCTTTATCCATTTTCCATTATCTTTAATATGTTTCAACCATCGTTCTCATTTATCCACACAAATAAACGATCCTTTAATACGTTTCTTTTTCTCTTTATATAATTATACAACAAACGAAGTAATATTGTATTTTACGACGATACAATGATACTATCTCAAAGTACATCGATCAAGTTAACGAACGTATCTATAAGCTTTCCCAATTTTCGGAAAGATTTGTCAAATGTACGAAAGAAAATAAATATATCTACGGAATTATCTACAAATTAAACGATATAATCTTTTTTTCGAAAAAAAAGAAAAAAAAAGAGAGAAAAAATAATATACATATATATATATATATATATATATATATATATATTTAAATATTATTCTTTTATTGAACACAAAAAATAATAAAAATACTATTCTTTCATTAAACAACGAATCATATATATATAAAACGAATCGAATCAAATCGAATCGTTAAATTTCCCTCGATACGATTTCAAACGCGGTTCGTTTCAAAGATTCAATAGCGTGAGAACGACGATCGACGCTTTCGGTAGAGTAAAATGGGACGATTCGGTAGGCGACATTTCCCGCTGGGAATAAATTTACGCGATACGCCGTTAATTAGAATACGTTATTTGCACAATCGAACGCGCAAGCTCGAAATCGATCAGGAAATTTCGGTGCAACGCGCCCGTTTTTCGCGAATTAATCGAATTTCATGTCGATCCTGCAAAACGAAGGATTCGATAAATAGACAGAGAGAGTGAAATATAGGAAGGGGGATAGTGTAAGTGGGATTGGGAGTGGGGGGAGGGGAGGGGGGAGAAACAAATAATATGATACGTAATCGGAACTGGTAGAAATTAAAACAGTCAATTATCGTCAGTTTTTCTATTATAATTTCGAAATTATTTTCATAATTATTCTAAAATAAATACCCTATAAGCGATCTAAACTGTTGACAATCAAGCTTAGTTCATTGGTTTGCAACAACGTGTAGGACGATAACGGTTCGTATCCCTTGAACGAGAACTAAAACCGACAGATTATTTCGATTACTCGCATCAGTGGATATTGCTTTTACGGTTGACATAATATAACGATCAAAAATCATTAGGTCAGATCGTATAAGATGAAAATTTATAAATTTAATTAGATTCTATAGAATGTATATGAATTTTATTCAACGTTTTGTTCAAATAAGGATTTTCAAGATGATTTGGAAAAGTTGAATGATTCGATATCTCTTTATTGTGTAACATAATTAAGCGATAACCGGATACGGCTTAGTCAACATGAATCGATAAACTGGATCGACTTATCGAGGCCACTATGGGAGATTAATTTGATTTTCGATCCTGGAATTGGTCGTGCGTGCGTGCATGCGTGCGCGCGCACACGCACGCTCACGCATACATTGCCTCGGGATACACTATTGCTTGCTCGAATTTCACCCCGATGTCTCCTCTCTATCCATGATTTTCAACGTAATTCATCTAACACGATACATGACATAGGTATATAATAAGCAAGTACTTGTATATAATATAATAACGTCGATATACTAACGAATCTATTCGTTTCATCGACCAACAAAACTAACACGTCGTGGCTTTCCTTTCGGTTTAAATAATAAGGGAAAATGATTTAGTTGAATAATGCAGGATGATTGGTACGTATGTGTCGGTTACTATCATAGATTAAAATTGAAAAAATTGAAAACATTTATTTTATAATTTAATTTATAATATTATAATTGTAATATAAAATAAATCATAAGATCAATTTTGTTTAATTATTTTAACTTAGACGAGTATTATAATTATCGGTACATACATATGCATGTATATAGTATACTCAACAACGCTATGGTAATATTCAATATTATTTTATAATTAACATTATTTTCCTTGATATAAAATATTCAGATGTGCTTAAAAGATAAATATTTGTTTTCAATTTTTACTTAGAATTTATTTTCATGTGTCATCTTTATTCCGACTTGAAATTTCATATTTTTTCCTACATTATTTCGTTCAATTTAATCGAAAGAAGAAGAAAACAAAAATACACAAAAAAATTACGCTAAAGTGAATAATCAAAATTTGTCTATAAATGTAAGATAAGAAAAAGTAGATAACGTTTATTAGTTGGTAAAAAGATACTCTAACAATAAGACGTTTACTCGATGGTGAACACTAGACAGCGTGATATCGATATCGGTGTTCACAAGACACGTGGTTCTTGTCCACTGTCTCCAAAGGAAATGTTTGACCTTGCACAAGATATCAAATGTGCGTCTAGTCTGCACTTTATATCGATCGTATTTGATCGTAGACACACCGAAAGAGACGTCTTCGAATAAGTCTGTATTTTTAGAGGATCGTATTTCCAAAGATTTCCCGCTGCTTTTTTTATTTGATTTTCATGATCGGTAACGGTAACGAAACGGGTATCGTTCGTACATAAAAAAAGAATTAAATTGTCGTCTTCTTCGACAATTTCTTTTTTTTTTTCATTAATAGAAGGCTATCCCGTAATAAGTTTATAAATAAAAATCATGAAACTAATTGGAAAATAAGACGATAAGAATGAACGAATACTATTGCGTGTTCGAGACACGAACAAGCAAGTAAGCAAGCGGGCAAGCAAGCAAGCAAGCAAGCGTCAAACGCGATTCCTTAATAAGGCATTTGCATTGAATCTTATCATGACAGGTTTCCTTGTTCTATCGAAAGGGTCGATTCGGTATCTCTTTTATCTTTCCTTGATTTATAAACCTATAATTAGAACTTTTCGAATGGCCTCGGACACGTACCGCGTCGACTACTTTAAATATGTGCTCATAACAACGACTTATCTTCGATATCATGTTTTCTTTCTTATTAAACATCAATGGAAAAGTTAACGACGGCGTATCATCAATAATCAACGAATGAACTTAAATACGAACGAACTAACTCAAAGGAATTCAAATTTTTCTTCAATGATTTATTACAAGTTCCACGTGTCTTCTAATCGTTAGAATTAAAATTATTACAATAAATTATTGTGTGTGTGTGTGTATTCATCGATCGCCAATATAAAAAGGGATATAATCGTCATTTATTAAATCACGTTGTATCAAAGTTTATAACTAATGTACATTCTCGTCTAAATCTCTCGTTCATGGTTACAAAACATAATTAATATTCACCCGTGATTCGCATTACGGCACGTAGCCCGAAACAAAGCCATCGAACTTTCGAAATCGAGAAATTCCATGGAGAACACGGTCACGTCGTTATCGTTTCGATTCTGATGTCTCATTAGGAATAAAAAAAAAAATCAAAACATTCACAAATAAAAAAAAAAGACAGAGAGAGAGAGAGAGAGTAAGATAAAGCGAACAAAATGAATAAATCGAATACAATTTTTTGTTACAACTGGGATAACAAAATAAGAAAGACGTGAAACGTATTTTCGAAATTTTTCCATAAGTAGAACGAGCAATTAAAGCGACGCGGATGACACGACTAAAATGACGATCGATGACTGCGATTAGAAAGATGACAAGGACCAAGGACTTGAAAAAAAATATATTATCTTGGAGAAAATTTGTCGTTAATATAGTCGGAAATAATCCCGGAATAAAAAGCGCCATTTTCGAGGCAATCCCTGTAAGCGACGGTGCGGCGAATGGTGCGGAGAGGGGTGGGTCGTCCCTGGAAAGCCGTCAACCAAATACATACAGGTCCTTCGGTGTGTAGGTGCTACGTAATATACATCTATATATATATATATATATATATTATATATGTGTATCTACTGTACACGCACTGATTTTGAACGTTTTAACGCGTTGGATTTGACTCGAGGATCGAAATAGTATACGTTGAAAATTTTTTAATCGGAGAGAGAAAGGAGACTCGTGAGTTAAACTCGTGCAGTCGTCTTGTAGTAAAAGGAGAAACCGCTTTCAGGACTTACGTGCTCGATGCAGGACAGATGGGCCGTGACTGACACCCCTGGTGCCGCCACGCGCCCTTCCCCGCGCCACCACCTTCTTCACCACCCTTCGCGATTGATACACTACGGCGCAGGCTCGCGATCAGAGTCTTCCCACCCCTTTCTCACTCTCTCTCTCTCTTTCTTTCTTCCTCCCTCTCTTTCCATCATTCTATCATTCAGAGTATTCATATGTGTGAATGTGTATATGTTTCATTCTCTTTCTCTCTATCTATCGTTTAGTGTATACTTATATATGTGTTTGCCTGCTATGTCTTTACATCCCTTCTCTTCTATCATGTGAATGTAGAAGTATACGTTTCTCTCTTTCTAACCTCCCCACCCCACCCCCTGCTCAACCCACCCCCTTCAAATGCCAGATAAGAGGGCGTACAGGGCGTATTTTCGTTTCTGTGTACGCGCAAGGACCAAGGCAACTTAGGGTGAACGTCTCTCAATTAGCTTCCCTTTCGTTTAAGGTTCGCTACTATGAGGCAGGTCAGTGTTGGGTCTTCCCTGGGTTTGCAATCAAAACCCATTGCAATGGAATCTCGTTCATTACGTATCACGAATTAGGTACATAATAGACTTTTATTTTAACTTCTAAAACTATTATGATGTCTTGTCGGTTGTTTTGATTTGACTTGTTTTTTTTTCTTTTTTTTTTATTCTTGTACAATTAGATTTTAATCAATTTAATAATAATTACGGTATTTTATATTTGACATGATCATAAAGTGCGGTGGCTTGCTGTTTTTTCTTTGTTTTATTTCAAGAAATCATTTGAATTTTTATTTCGTTGTATTATAACTAAGCGATAAATTTGATGAACACGATAGATAAATGTTAATAGGCAAATAGTTAAATTTCAAGTTTTCTTTATCATTGATGTAAGGATGCGATAACAGCCAGATCTTGGCGAGATACTTTACTCTTAACTTATACTCATAGCCACAAATTGATATCCGCGGTTTTCACGTTAAACGATACTCGTGAACTGCACGAAGTAGTTCAGGTCCGTCACTTGCCAGCAATTCATACATTCATATACAGGGTCTTTCGCCTAACTCGACCACTTAATATATCTCGTTTATTTCGTACGATAGAAAAATTTTGTTAAAAAAATATATTGACGGGCCGAATTTATTTTTAAGGTCATTTTTTTTTTTTAAATTCCAAGATCGTCGTATTTTCTTCAAATGGGACTGCATATTTTTATTACAATATTCTTACAGCTTATAAAAAAACGAATTCAACGATGTCTAATATGTTGACCTTCAAGTAACCTTTACCGAAAAAATTGTGAAATGTTGTCCCATGTACATGAGAATATTTTTTGCTTGTAGTGAAAGGGAATTTTGTTTTGAAAGGGAAAAAGGAGAAAAAAAAATCACAGAGAAAAATATCGAGAACCAATTCGATTTTACTTAGGAGTCGAGACTGATTGATTGCTCGCATGCTTTTTTAATTAGCGAAAATTTGATTATCCAAAAGTATCGGCCATTGACGATCGGTTTTGTCGCTGCACGTTGCAACGATCCGTTTAGTAAGAGTACCATCGCGGAAAACAAACCCATAAACGAAAGGACGAAAACGTTAAAAAAATAATCGAATGAGTCTTTGAAAGAAAGACCTACATTAAATTTTTATCGAAACTCGTTTTATATTGGAAAAAAGTCCTATGTGATGCACATTGAGGTATACTACGGTGAAACATGAGTATACATGGTTTTAAATTTTGGTATGATGGAAAAAACCTGGTAAATAACTAACAATTAATGAATTACTAATAAAGATTGTTTCTTATACATGAAAAGAGTTTTTTTTTTTTTAGCTTGTATTAGTATCCTGCACGTTGATTTACATTTGTTCCTTCATTTACCGTCCTCCGAGCGCGTACTGAAGTTACTGACAAACATTTCATAATTTTCTCGGTAAAGGTCACTTGAAGGTCAATATATTGCACATCATTGAATTTGTTTTTTTATAAGCTGTAAAAATATTGTAATACAAATATGGAGTTCCATTTAAAGAAAATACGATGAAAAGTTTTGATAAATATTTTTTATACTAAAAGTAAGTAGATTTTAATGAAACTTATATTAAATTAAATTACAATCTTTTGTCTACGCGTAGAATACCAAATCGAGTTACAAATTTAGCATGTAATGTTCAGAAGATGTCAGAGAATGCAATGCAGTAAATTGTGCATCTTTGCAATTTCTTTGAAAAGTTTTGGTAAATATTTTTTATGCTAAAAGTGAATAGATTTCAATAAAACTTCTATTAAATTAAAGTACACTTATATATATATATAGATATTAACTGTCCATGACAACGATTATAAGTAAATACGATTTACTCGTAACTTCTGTACATAGCGTGAGCACGAACGTGCACGTGAATTATCAATTCGAGGAACAAATTGATTTAATCCAGAACCTCGCTAGTTTATTGTTCTTGTTTCATAGTTTTCAATGTATTTGGACATTTTAATTATTCTAACAAAAAACAAAAGATAATGAAAAATCGACTATATACGAGCCGTTGTAAGGTCAAAACGATTAATTCGACTATTCGACGTTTTTACAATTTTATTACAAAACCACTTGATCGATATTTAACTTTCAAAATATCAAATAAATTTTCTTAAAAATTACGCCTCACATTGATTTCTCAATTGAATGACTCATATATAAATCTACGAATTTTATTATTAAACACTTAATTTTTATATATATATTTTTAAATAATTAACAATGAAAATCCTTAATCTTTAGTCTTAGGAAATAATTTCAAACGGGTTACGTTTTACTCGTGATTTTGTAAATTTACGAGTAGGATCTGAGGCAAGATGTTACATTGCATAACCGTTGTACCGTAAATTTAACGAACCGATAGTAATAAATCTTAACGGATAAGTGGTCCTACCTCAAATACGCTATGAACGTATATTCATATGTATATACACGCATTTCCCTCTTAATCCTCGTAATATGAAATTACCAACATTCGTCTCGAACGAAATATGAGTTAGAAACACGAATACGTTCATTCGCTTCATCTTTTCGTTCCGAGGAAAAAAAATATCGAAATTGGTCGATAATAATTTCGATAAGACGAATACATGTGAAATGTTGCTTTTATCTCAAATTATGATATACATTTTCAAAAATATTTTATTTTATTAACAAAACTTTTTATTTAATAACGTATTTTTAGCATTACAAAATTGTATGCAATCAATTATGTGCGTATAAGATGTGAATAATTATAATATTAAACATAAATTCTAAATATTACGTAATTAAACACCTTCAAAACCAGAAAAATAGTGGTCGTAGTAAAAGGAATGTTTGTTTTTTTTTTGAAAAAAGAACTCGAGTTTTAGTAAGTTTTTTATTCCCATTTTATGCGCGTCCTAAATAAAAATGGTTTAATACCTAACCCGTCGTCGTTTGACATGAACTTGTGAGAAAAGTTATTAAATCGTCTAAAGTGTATTAAAAGTTTTATATATTATGGGACAATATTCGAACCCCAAATGTGTACCATTATTTGAGAGTAAAAGAGTATCATTTTTTTTAATTATCAATATTCTTGTCCAAAAATATGTTATTAATATATAAGTCTCAAAGGGAATTATAGACGGTTATTAAATCTTATGAACAATTTATTTTGAACTAGTTGTACGTTTCGTCCCTTACTGGGGACTTCATCAGCAACTTGATCATTTACAGTTCACGTGTCAATACATATTATCTTTTTTACAGAGTCATACATTTAAATCAAACTTAACATATTACAATACTATTTGATCCTAAACACCTTATCTTATTACACGTAATCAAATACTGATTCTATCTAGACTAGTGTTTAATAATCTAGGTATCTTCAGTATTGAAAATATGGTAAATACTTTTTATGCTAAAAGTGAATAAATTTTAATAAAACTTATATTAAATTAAAGTACACTCTTTTGTCTACGCGTAGAATACCATATGGAGTTATAAATT